TCATTCGCTTGTTAAGTGCCTTGAATGTTTAATAACGCTTTACATGCTCGCTAACAAGTTGCCCAGATTTACGCAGTTACTATTTTCCCAAAGTGACCCAATTCCCTTGGAAATTTCTTCTAATTTCGTTAGCTCTGACCAAAAACACGGACCCCGTGTGTGTGTATATCCTGCGCAGAGTAAACCAAAACAAATAAAAAATGCAACCCAGAGAAATGTCGAGTGGCAGGTTCTTTCTTCCCCCCAAAGAACGAGCACCAGCAGCCGAGGCGAGCCAAGCAAGTAGTACATTCCCAAGCCCGCGACGCTGACCACCCACTCGTGACATTTACAATGTGTTCTCTTCCTTTTGGTGGTTTTGGCACTGCGGGGAAAAACTCTACATGATGTTAATATTAATGTTTTTGAGTTTGTTTTCCTTCTTTTTAAAGAGATTTTTGACATCAGAATGAAGAGGAAAAAATGTAAATGTGCATTGATACTCTTTGTTAAAAAATAGCTGTTTTTGTCTTCTTAATCTTTCACCCAATTGCCTAAATATTTGTGCCCTCTTTATAGTATAACCCCTCTGATTTCTTTAATGTGTAATTGGGACATGCAAGTGGTACTTCTTGGCCTTGTTAGCTATAGAAAGAATATTGTCATGTAAGAAATACTTCGGAGCTTAGGTGAAAATCTAAGAAAATATATCCTTTTCCAATTATAACCCTTTTCTCGCAGTGCGTGTGACTGGTGATGATGGTCGTGGCTGCCTTGAGGGCGCACGCTGGGCGGCCCAAGTGCTTACATTGTGAAAACTTTCGCTTCTTCTGCAGCTGATGCTGCTGCTGCTGTTGTTGCTCGCTCCACTGTTGATGTTGCTGTTGCTGATGGGGCCGGGGCATGAAATCTTATAAAACTTATTGTTCCATTTCCTTTCACTTTATGTAAATTAAACAGTGCATTATTCTTGCATATGCACGGATGGGGAAAAGGACGTCGAGTGGGTGCCAGAGGAGGGCGGGATCCAAGCAGATATTTGCATTTTGCACTTGGCACATGTGCCAAGTTCTGTCCCCTGGATTCCCATACTCCCCAGCTCTGTGTTGCGTTACGTTTAACGAGCGGTAGGGTCGGAAAAGCTGTTGCATATGTAAACTCGTTTCGCGCTGATTTGATTGATTCTATGATATCAATACAGGGGACAGGACAGGACAGAACAGGGCAGGACAGTAGTGTGTGTATTCAGTGCGATAAGGTCAAGGTTTTTGCCTCCAACAGTCCTCCACCCTCTGATGTTTTAACAGAAAATGAGCAATGGGAATTCATGGAAGCACCAATTTGCATTTATTGCTTTTATTTTATGAGGAATATTCGATTTTCCAGATACACTCTCTCGCATAAGAGTTTTTTTTCTTCCTGTGCATGGCTAGATCCGCCCACAGCCTCAGACTTTCCTCAATGATTACCGACAGAAATCAATTTCATGCTGGCAGCGCTGGTGATTTCCCAAGTACTTGTACGTGTACACGCAACATAACGCAGTTTATAATTTTGCCACTAAACTCTGCGGAGCCCCCGAGTGCATGCCAGTAATTTGATGCATTCGCCGCGTTTCCATCTCTCGCATTTTCACTGTCATGCCTTGCTGGAGCCGAGGCGGTGATGATGGAAGATTCTCACCGACCATGAACTCGTCTCTGGTGCGCTGCACAAAAGGATTTCAAGTGTGTGTGAGTTTGTGTGTGTGAGTAGAGGGCGCCGTTTACTGCGTAGTTTTTCCACAATTTTCCCGCTTGAAACCCTCCTGCAGCCCCTGCCTGATTCCTTGGACACGTTTCAAGTACGCGTCAAAAAACGAAAAACAGTGCGCAATATTTTCACACTGAGGAAGAGGCATCTGAAGAAAGGGAGAAAGTGTCAGAGGGGAAATTCTGCTTATCATCATGTCGCTTTGCATTACATAAACCCAAAAACTGTGAGAACTAGGGTCCATAAACACCTCGAAACTTAAGGAAAACTGTAGATAAATAGCATTCAAATTTAAGGAGCAACATAAAAAATATATCGAGGTAAAAATAATAACAAAACCAAGCTATAATCACAAATTTGCCAGCTACTTAATGGGGAAGTACAAAATATAAAGCGTAAAAGCAAAGCAATAAAAATGGTTTGGGTTTCCCCCATAACAACTGTACCACTAATTTCCAATTTTATTGCATTTCTAATTATAAACAAGTATTTAGGAAAGCTAAAACTTTGAAGCAATCTGAATGTTTGAAAACAAAACACATTATGGGGTTTTCAAAGTAATCAATCTTCCCAAAAAGCCCTAAATAAATCAAAGTAAATTGTGTGTAAATAGTTCGATACGCCATTTTAGTATTATTAGCACAGTTTACCCTGGCAATGGACAAAATGCGGAAACAAATTAAAGTTAATAGTTCAATTCCCCTATAATCTGCCCAATTAGGGTTAAAAATAATAACAAACTAATCTCTGATAATGAATCTGTTGATAGTGCCCACAGACTTAGATAGGCATACTCCAAAGTAAACGATTATTACTTTTTGTGACTCACACTAAGAACTTTAAGTGGGGGAAATGACAACAATTTCAAGCAATCCTAATCCAAACAAACAATATGCAAACTAGCACGTAAAATAACCAAAGAATTCAGAAAGAAATGAAAACTTTAAAAAACTTGGCATTGAGCGAAAGTTTAATGCCAGTCGTTTTGTAACAAAACGCTCAAAAGTTGCTCTGCTCTCTCGCCCTCAAACATTTATTCGTAGCTTATTGATTATAGCTGGAAAACCAATAGACATGCGTCAAAAAATATACTATTGGAGGAAAAGGCAATACCAAGAGCTGGAGGCTAGGAGGGGGGGCTGTGTTGGTGCCCAAGTGGGGGGTGGGAAAATAATTTTCCTAACTGGCGATGGCGACGACGCTTAGTCATTAGATGGCCAAAACGATGACTGTGTTTAGCTATTGGGCGGCAAAAATCTTATAAATGCCAGCAGAAAACAACGGCCAAACACAAAGCAAAGCAAAACAAAGTGTGGAGGAGGCCTGGACAGTCAGGAGAATCCGGGGAAAATGTATTGGAGTAGCGGCGTGAATGGAAGAGGCCACAAAGCAGCGGACTTGTCTCATTATTTTGTGAGCGGCTGCCCCGGCTATTTGTTATTGTTTTCTACGATGATATGCTGGGGAATTTCGCCCTGCCGCGGCCGCCGTTGCTGAGTAAATAATGTCATAAGGTCACACGCACACACACATTAAAGGGGAACACTGTAACGGGGGGCCTAATGGTCAGCAGGCATTGTTGCTGTTGTTGTTTTCGGTCATTTGTCTTGGGACATTTTGGGCTGGGCTGGGCCGGGCCTGGTCGGGCCGGGCTGAGCCCCGTTGATGGTTTTATATAAAATAGCATAATAAATGGCCAGCCCAGGCGCAGGCCTCTAGATTCGCTATCGTTCCCATATTAAATGTCACCGTGGGGTTGACTTGACGTTGTTTACTCGATGGTGTCCCCGCCCACAGCGAAGGTGATTGAAACAAATTAAACCAAAAGCAAAGTATAAAAAACAACAAGCAAGGGAAAATTCAATTATTAACTGGGTAACGCGTTGAAGAGCGCTGACCACGAATGCAGAAAATAAAAGCCCGTCAAAGGCAGCTGTGCAAACTTTTCATTCTCCACTCGCGCACACACACGACCGCTCTCTGTCGCTCTCCTTGCGGTTCGTTGAGTTCCGGCTGGCCAACACACACATGCGTATTCTGGTTTGGCCGGCCACTGAGAGAAATTGCCCAAATATTGAAATAACAACAATAAAAATTATAATGAATTGTTCAGATAGATGAACATTTTTTCAAACTTTTATTGCAACCTTTTGAAATTATTATTTTCAACTGGTCTGACTTTATTTTTCTCTCCGTGCAGAGACACCCACGCGTCTCGATTTCCATTTCCACCGGTAGGCAGTCAGGCAGGCAGCAGCTGGGCCAAGCGAGTTGATCGCATTTACCTGTTTGTCACTCATACGCCGTGTGGTCCCAGTCCGTTTCTGGCTCTTTTATTTCTGCTCTGGGTGCATGTGGGTGTTCCGCCGGCGAAATGTGTGTGACATGTTAAACATGTTTTCGCTTGGAATCGACTGTGGGCCGCCGCGTCGGTTTGACTTGCATTTGTGCAAATTTGTGTGCCTGTGCCTAACTGGAAACAGTGAACGAGTTCCTCCACAATGTCCTCGAAGTGAAAACTGTGTGCCTGACTTGTGTGGCATTTTTTCTGCATTGAATGGAATTGAAGTTCAAGCTTGTACCCGTTTGCTTGATTTCTCTCTCTCTCTCTCAAAACACAAGCCATGCAAATGAATGAGTTTCTCCCTCACTCGTGGGCGCGTGTCCTTTATTTGGTTTCATTTCCGTTCAAGATGACAACGCCATCTAGTTTCCGGTCAATGGCTTTTCCGGGCTTGCCTTGATTTAATTCAGGCAAATGGGGAATTTAATTTACCAGAAATGGTTACATTCGTAGGCCAGCAGAAGCTTCTTTGTACTGGCCACATTGCGGCCTCTTCTGCGGCTATGAGCATTAGGCTTTGGTCAAAGGAAAGTTGGCCTGGCGGGCATGGGTTTACAACTGGAAACAGTCGGAAAATTCATCAATTGCAGGCTAGAAAACTACTTTAAATTAGATTTTTACATGTAAATGGTTTGGGTTTCCAGTGTTGCCACCACAGTATCTATCTTGTTTTTATCAGCTCTGTGTTATCTGCTGACAAAGAAATCACAGTCAGAGCCATTATCTCCACACACACACACACACGGACGCACCTGCAAAGCCTGCGATTAGATAGATACACCTGAACGTTTCATTTTATCGAATGCGGGGCTCTTTTTTTTGCGTGCCTTTCACTACGCTGTCAATTTTTGAGTTATTTTCGCCAATAAAACCTATCTATCCGGCAAACGCTTATAGTGCCCATATCTTCTCTGTTTGCTTGCAGTGCATGTGATGCCAAATATCCACAAAAACTAATAGGAAACAACCAGCAACAGCGGTTGAATGCAGCAATCAAAAGTTAGCCCTCTATCTCACCAAATTGATGTGCCATTCAGGAGCAGCTGAAGCAGCAGCAGCGCCAGCAGAAGCGGAGACAGAGGATCAGAATCTGAATCAGAGACAGAGCAACGCAGAAGCTAAGCGAGAGTATTATCAAGAGTAAGGCGCATCGCAAATGCAACAATCCCTCCAGCAGGTGAGTGCGAGTGTGATGAGTGGGTGAAGTGATGAAGTCACGGAGCTAATTACTTGTCCCACTTTATTCCAGTGTACATACAACTGTAACGAATTTAAACCAAATCCAGGCAGCTAAAACACTTCACGCCCAAGGGTAACCGTTTGATAGATGCCAAGATAAGTCGTTACCGCTTTAACACCGCCATCACCATTACCCAGCAACAGAAGCTGCTCCAGCTACTCCAGCAACAGCAGCAGGAGAACGCTCTCAAAGGCAAGAAAAAGCACAAGCAGAAGTTGCAGTTGCAGCAGCAGCAGCAGTTGCAATTGGTGATTGGTCAGGAAATACACCTAGAATCCGACGCAGGAACAGAAGCAGAGCTGTTGGGCTTAACCAGGAGTGACGAAAACAACTGCAAGACGCCAAACTCAACCGCAAAAGTCGCCAACATAACACATAAAATTTTCGGTTGGCTACGCAAATCACGCAACAAACGGCCAGTCGAGATCCTCAACAGCGATTTCGGCGAAGACGGCGACGAGGGCGTTGGCGAGGGCAGAGGCCAAGGGGCAGGAGAGGGTGGTGGAGCAGCTGCTGCTGCCGGTGCCGGTGCAGCCGATCAATTTTCAGTGGCAAGCGTTAGGAATAAAGCCGGCAAGCTGAATACCACACAGACAGCCACGGAGACCGCCATCGATTCAAACGAACCCAAATCTGAAAAGATGTCATCGGGCACGTTTGTGGATCGAATCGACCCGTTCGCCAAACGTTCGCTCAAGAAGAAGGGTAAAAAGAGTCAAGGTTCCTCGCGCTACAGAAATTCTCAGGATGTTGAGCTGCAGCAATTGCCGCCGTTAAAAGGTTAATTTAACATTTATTTTTTCCAGTTTAATGGTCTAACAATTTACATTCCTTTTTGTTCCAAAAGCCGATTGCTCCAGCCTAGAACAGGAGGAGCTGTTCATACGGAAGCTGCGCCAGTGTTGCGTGTCCTTTGACTTTATGGATCCCGTCACGGATTTGAAGGGCAAGGAGATCAAGCGGGCCGCACTCAATGACCTATCCACCTATATAACACATGGGCGCGGTGTGCTTACGGAACCGGTCTATCCGGAAATAATTCGCATGGTAAATATCGCGTCATTTACTTGCGAATATTTTAATAAAAACTGCAATAAACAACCCTAAATATGATTTTTCTCTACCAGATTTCATGCAACCTATTTCGCACGTTGCCGCCCAGTGAGAATCCTGATTTCGATCCTGAGGAGGATGATCCGACCCTGGAGGCCTCTTGGCCACACCTACAGCTGGTCTACGAGGTCTTTTTGAGGTTCTTGGAGTCGCAGGACTTCCAAGCAACCATCGGCAAGCGGGTAATCGATCAAAAGTTTGTCTTGCAGGTTAGTGTTTACTTTCGCACCCAAGTAACAAATTGATTAAAAAGGGTTTTCTCTAGCTTTTGGAGCTCTTCGACTCGGAGGATCCTCGAGAACGGGACTTTCTGAAGACGGTGTTGCATCGCATCTACGGAAAGTTCCTGGGACTGCGGGCCTTTATACGAAAACAGATCAACAACATATTCTTGCGATTCATCTACGAGACGGAGCACTTTAATGGAGTCGGTGAGCTTTTGGAAATTCTCGGCAGGTATGTTCTTGTTATATTGGGTATATATTCTTGTTCGTCACAATGAATTATTTTTTGTTTTCCAGTATCATCAACGGATTCGCTTTGCCCCTAAAGGCCGAACACAAGCAGTTTCTGGTCAAGGTCCTGTTGCCGCTACACAAAGTCAAATGCCTGTCGCTCTACCACGCTCAGCTGGCGTATTGCATTGTACAATTCCTAGAGAAGGATCCATTCCTTACCGAGCCTGTGGTGCGTGGGCTTCTCAAGTTCTGGCCCAAGACGTGTTCCCAAAAGGAGGTCATGTTCCTGGGCGAAATTGAGGAGATTCTCGACGTGATCGATCCGCCGCAGTTTGCCAAGATCCAGGAGCCGTTGTTCCGCCAGATTGCCAAATGCGTGTCAAGTCCACATTTTCAAGTGAGTCCCTATTTCGCTGATATGGTAAAGAGTCTAAATTAATCAAAATTATAACCAATTTCTTCCCTGTAGGTTGCTGAGCGCGCACTCTATCTGTGGAACAATGAGTATGCCATGTCGCTCATCGAGGAGAACAATGCGGTTATCATGCCCATCATGTTCCCGGCCCTGTACCGCATCAGCAAGGAGCACTGGAATCAAACCATTGTGGCGCTCGTTTACAACGTATTGAAAACGTTCATGGAAATGAATTCGAAGCTTTTTGACGAGCTGACCTCCAGTTACAAGGCGGAGCGGCAAAAGTGAGTGATTGAGAGTTCACAGTTTGAAACAAACTAACCAACTTGGGTGTCTTTTTCAGAGAGAAAAAACGTGAGCGCGACCGCGAAGAGCTGTGGAAGAAGCTGCACGAACTCGAATCCAATCGTTCTACTGGGCGCTCCGCTGGCGGCAGCGCTGCGACATCGAACAGCGCAGCCCCCGCGGCATCAACGTCTCTGCAGCCACCTAGCTCCGCCGGTCTGAACTCCCATCAGCAGCAGTCGAATAGCAGCAGCAGCGGCAGCCTGTCCAGCGGCGGAGCCGGAGGCGACAATAACCCTGCGACCACAAATGCGAAAATCAAACAGGAAGTCAAGACGGAGAACTAAGCAAGCAGGCAACGCGAGGCGCGCGCTGGAAACTAATAATAAACCAACATCAGTAGGAGCGTAAAGCTAACGCGCTATCCGATATCCGTAAATGGCAGAGACAGCAACAACAACAGCAAGCATCTAAAGGAGAAAGAAAAATATAGTTATACTAAAACACACACACACACACACACACACATATGCTAAACTTTAAACCAGAACATATAAAACTAAAATGTATACTCGATTGACAAGACACCAACCAAGCTGACCTACCATCGGACGGGACGGGAAGGGCGGCTTGGGCGGCTGTTAAAGGAGGTAGAACCGAAATCTGGAGTGGGAGCTGAATCAGCTGAATCCCTGTCCGTGTGCGCGTGTGTGTGTTAGTGTGCGTGTAGGAAGCTTGGGTGTGTGGCATATAAGAGATCTTTATAAATGTACAAGATACACCCCATATAAGCAGAAAACCACGCACGCACACGCGCATACACCCACACACACATGCAGACACGTATAAATATATATTAAAAAGAAGAACAGAATAATTATTAATTACGTTTAAGCGAACACAAGTTGAATAAAGAGAAATCATGTTAGTAAGTGAAGAAAAGAGCAAGCGGACGATGATAACTATAAAAGAGGATCGAGGATTGTTGAAGCGCATTGAATATTATTAACTAAACATATTGCTAACTAGATCCTAGCATAGATCAGCCATTCAAAACACCCACACACGCACACCACCCACTCACTTGCAAAGCATACTTTTCATTTGAAATGTGTAAAATAGTTGCATCCTCGGAATTTTGTTGCTCCATAGAACGGCGTGTCTTAGTCCCCGATTTCCCCTCGAATTGTACATAAAATATATGAAGAACTGTGCTCCTCCCAACCCAATCTATCCGGAATTAAACTTTGTTACTTAGCTTTAAGTGTTGCACACTCCGTCAAGACTTCTCGAAACAGAAATTCCAACAATTCTCGCGCAGCTGCACGAATCCGAATCGGTTAGTAGCAAGAGCCAAGTTTTAGTATGTTGTTGAAGTTGCTGCTAAATGGACTAAGGCAGACGAAACACACGAATAAGAATACAACTAAATACCATACCATAACGTAACGCTGATCTATCTAGATGTATGTGAGTGTGCGGAATATATCAACAATATGTCCCCACAGCTGGGAAATAGGGGCATGCGCAGTAATCGAGATGTACTAAGCATACAACTAAAAATATTGAGAGCATTGTAAAAAGGTCAGGCTAGAGAAACCAACCAACCGAGGAAACGTTAGTCTATAGAATATGGTTTTGGAAAATTCAGCTAGCGAAACATTTCCAAGAGCCTATCTAAACATCCTTTGCATTAAAATCCATATATATCTCAGGGGAAGCGGTCCGAAGCGTTCGATTCCTTAATAGTTTGCAATTTCACTTCTGACTATTCTCAATTTTTTATGAAATTTATTTATTTCCTATACCTTTTTTTTTTGTAATATTCATGGTAATGCGCACAATTGTCATTATTCGATTATTTTATCGTTGTAAATAATGTAGCTAAGATGAAAGCGAGGGACAACTTTTTGGACCGCTTCCTCACTCATTCACACACACACACACTACACATACACCCACTTAGAAGCACTCATAGTAAGAAGATATATAAAATTTATATATGAAGTATACTATGCATGTTTGTTCATTCAACTCTCACGACGACGCCCATTACAAAGTATAGAAGCATGCATTATAGGAGCCAACTAGGAGCAGAGGCAGGAGATAGGACGAGGACGTGAGGCGACTATCCGCTAATGAATGTCTCTCATTAGGCAATACCGTAAAAGTTCATATAATATTAATGATAAATGTGTCTGTGAATCGTGAGTTATTATACACATACATATATTGCAAACAAACAAAAAAAAAAGCGAAAAAAAACTACAAAAAAGAAGAAAATCTAAAGGAAACAAACGTAAAAGTTAGCGTTATTATTAAATATGTTTGTAAAACAATGTCAACAACAATATTCAACAGAGTGCGTGAAGAGAGAGAACCGTTTAAAGAGCATCCACTAGAGAGTCATCATCGGCTAGGCGAGAGATATATTGCGAAAACATAAAAATTTAACAACCTACGACTAAATACTAAGCAACGTGTGTAAGAAAGTTTTGCATCTTTATATTAGCGTGTAATTAAACGAGAAAAATAGCTAAACAAAGCCCCAGACAAACCAGCAACTGCAACTAGAGCCCACGAAGATCACCTCCATTAAATAGAAGTAAAGCGATAAGAAGGACTATAGAGACTCGAGGCCCACTTTGTTATGACATCAATCTCTTGACTCCCAACTAGCAGCAGATCGATCCATAGCACACCCATTCTCTAGTAAACGTTTGATGTTCGCATAGGATGCCAATCAATGTAATACAAAAAAAAAATGCAAATGTAAAAACGAAGCCAGAAATCAAGCAAGCAAACTAAATAGAAATGTTGACAAAGGGAGGAATGCCTATAAACAAATGAATAAATAAATAAGTAAGACAAGTGGTTTAATGATCAAAATATCTCTTCAATCTTTCGTTTGACTTTCTATTTTTGTGATCTATTTCTGTTGCACCCTGAGTTAACTTGTTTAGTACGCTTTCAACTTACACATATGATAACTTTAACTATAGTTTCTATTATTGTATTTATATGTATAAACAAATCGAGCATGTTAAACGTAGCTGTGCTGTAGCTGCTGCTTAGAGCCGGCTGAGCGGAGAAGAAGTATAAGCAAAAGCAAACTCGTTAAGTACTTTTAGAGACGAAACCTTGTACTAAAAATAAAGTCGCATTAACAACGTTGCAAAAAAGTTAAGAAACAAACAAATGAAAAGAAAAATACAAAAAAATTAAATGGAAAAGCAAACAGAAACCAACAATAAGAGCAAAAATAGTTAAAGCGCTTAAACAATATAAATACTATGGATACTAACAATGAAAGGAGAGGGAGAAGGAAAAGGATAAGAGGAAAGAGGATAAATATATATGTGAATTATGTATTTTCTTATGTTCTAGACTTGTAAAAAAAACAACCTATCGTATATATGATACACGCTATTATTACGTATGACTTTGAGTTCTTGTTCTTTAGGACGACGGTGTGTGCGAGGATTTCAATGGTTTTCTTTGGGTTGATGGCACACACTGCACCACACTCGCCCGCCCACACACACTCACTCAGACACACTCACATCCACGTCCACAACCACACACTCACACACGACTAAACAAAATCTTATGCTGAGAGTAAATATAAAGAGTAAATTATAATTACACAAAACATAAATGGGAATAAATATATATATAGGTATATACATACATATATATAAAAAGTATATATACATGAGCATCAGAAGAAAACAAAGGTTTAGTTGATTGCTTCGACAGCAAGTATGCGAAAAAAAAAATATAATAAATAAAAAACAAAACAAAAACAAGAAACTGAAGGCATGGCAGCAGAAAATGATTTGAAATTGCAAGGCGCAGAAGAAAACAAATATTTAGCTGCAAGCAGAATTAACCAAAAATGAATAAAAACCAAGTAAAACATTGAAAAAAATCACACAAACTAAATGAATGAGTATGAGCAAACGGAGAGAAAAGAAGCAAAGAGATCAATCAACAATAAAAAATTAATAAATAAAAAATAAAACACAAAACTGGTTTTATTTTTGTATTGGAAACATAGGAAAAGGGATTCATTTTATGCTATAAATTGTTTTTGTATATTTTAGAAAACTAATATTTTTAGGAATATGATTACAAGTGGCTACCTGTGGGCTAAATCTTAAATAATAATACGTAACACTAATCAACACGTAATACGTAACACTAATCAACAAGGATAGACAGATTTAGGAACTTTTTTTTTTATAATTTATAATAATTAATACTTAGTTATTCCTCAAAAATGGGGAATAAAATAAATTAAGGTGAAAAATATGCAAATAAGCATAATTAATCTTGCCAAAAAGGTCTGAAAAAAAGTTGTTGCATATTTTAGCACTCAGCTTTTGTTAGCAAAAAAGCTAAGAACGTAGTGAGCTTTGCGACAACGCCACAAAAGCTACGGCGCCTGCAGTTGGTTCGCTGCCGTCGTCAGGTGCAGTCGGGAAAAAGTCGCGAGAAAAATCAATTGTGAAATTTCCACCCTCGCCGAATAATTTTTTCCGTGATCCTCCATGAAGTGGGAGAACTATTGCGACTTTGTGGCCGGATGCTTCGGGGGTGAGTGGAAATCTCCGGCTTGGGATAGGTTTCGCGAGCATCCCATATTCGGTCTTGTCTAGGAATGACGCAATGCCAGAGCCAGATGATGAGCCACTTGTTGATAGGAACAGCACAGACCCAGCGGCCAATGGGCGCCACGGTCAAGTTCATGAGCGGCGGCGCCCCTGATCCCAAAGGCGTATTTTGGTGTCGCCATCGAATTTTTGGCAATCAACATGCAACGGCGGCGGTTCAACATGTGTTCAGCTGTGTAGAAGAATTTTTTAATTAAATTATTTATGTATATTATTTTGATTATTATGATTGGGATTCAGGTGCCTGCGGGGTGCTTGTGGCCCATCCCCTCGACACGATCAAGGTGTGGCAGCAGGCCTCCAACTCCTCCGTCCTGACTGCCGTCCATCAGATCTACAGCAGGAATAATGGGGTAAGTTAGGAAGGGGGTTACGTCTGGTCAGAGTTTCTAAAAAATCGGAATTGATCAATATTGAATTAAATAAAGACAGATTTTTTGCCCCAGCTAAAGCTGTTTACGGACTTATTGACAGATTAAAAAACATTTTTTTTGTATTCTCTGACTAGATGTAATCCTTGAAAGCTTTGGCTGGGAGGAGACACTGGGTTTAATCGGTCGGCAACGCCTTAAAGATTAACGGCTTCTACAGGGGCATGTTCTTCCCATTCATCTCGACGGGAGCCATCAACTCGCTGCTCTTCGGCATCTACGGCAACCATCTGCGCCAGCTGAGGAAGGTGTGCCACAGTGACTACCAGCGGGAGCAGCTGGAATACCACAACATGTTCATGGCAGGATCGGTGGCAGGATTTGTGCAGTCCTTCATTGCCTGTCCCATGGAGTTGATCAAGGTCCGCCTGCAGACGGCTTGCTGTGGGTTTGCTCTAGATTTTGCCATTCAGAAGCTGTAGCTAATGTTTCAAACTCCTCCACAGACTACAATGATTATCTCTACGGCCAGCGACGGACAGCCTTCGGCACTTTTAAAAGGATACTCAAGACTGACGGCATCTCTGGTCTATATCGCGGTCTGCTACCCATGATGTGTCGGTGAGTGCTTCCCCATAAAAAGTAAGGATTCTAGTGTTTTATCTGATCTTTTGCTTAACAGCGACGTTTTGCCTTATGGAATCTATATGCTGGCCTACCGCCAGAGCGTTGACTACCTGGACGGACGGGATTTCGTGCGGCGGCGACGCAGCCAGGCAGACGGATCGAGTATCAATCTGCTGGTGACCACACTGGCCGGCGCTTGGGCAGGAGTCATCTCGTGGGTGTGCGTCATTCCCTTCGACGTGGTGAAGACCCTGATGCAAGCAGACGAGAACCACAAGTTCCGGGGCATCTTTCACTGCGTGAGGGTCAACTACAGAGCCTACGGTTGGCGAAGTATCTTCCGAGGCAGCTGGATGCTGGTGGCGCGGGCGATTCCCTTCAACGCCGCCACTTTCCTGGGCTACGAGTACGCCCTGGAGTGGTGCCAGCGGTGGAATGGCACCTATGTATGACCCAAAGCCTCGTCTGGCGGGGACTAAGAGCTTTAACTAGTTTGTATGCTGTGACCATTGATATCTACTGAAATAAGTGTGATTGAACTTTAATAAACTACTTACGCTTTTTGCTAAAATATATTGTACATATGTATCCTGATGCTATTAAAAGCTTTCAGTAATTTTGCTCAATATTGTAAAATTGTGATACTTAAAGGCACCACTAAAATTAATTAAAAATGAAATGATGTAAAACGCACAATACTATATAAAAACGTTATGCATATGCACATAATACAATTGTTTAAAAATAATAATTTTCTGAACACCTACAAAAAACAATAAGAAAGAAAATATTTAATACCTATTTTATAAAAAATATATTGTACAAAACTGGCAAATAAAAACAAGTAAATTATTAATTGTTATTACTTTGTCGATGAATAATTTCAATTAAGCGTTTTTAGGTTTAAAATTTATTTTTTTTTTTTTAATTTAGTTTTGCTTTTATTGATGACTTAGAAGTTCTTGACACCTGAAATGGTTTATATTAGTTTCAACAACTTTTACACCATTTTGAATATTTTAAATTGCGTCAGACAGTGCTGGAAAACGCTTTGCGCTGCTTTGTTAAGTAAACCGTGCTGCCAACTTAACGGTGTTTCGAGGGCTTAAGTGTGCCCAGCTGCCATGGAGAAAAAACCACTCCTTTGTCGACGAATCGCAAGTTTTATAACTATAAAACCTGGCGGGCACACTGCACAAATTGTCGACAAACAAACAACAACGTACGGATTTGATTTCGTTAATAAATAGATAAAGCGTACGTCGCGCATTTCTCGCTTTATTTTTTTATTGCGCTGCAGCGGACGCGAGTGCGTTTAATGAGGCGTGCCAAGTGGATATTTGCATATGGCCGAAAATCCCAGCAGCTAGCATCACATAGATACTGAAATACACACAAACGAGCACCGCGATGTGCGATGAGTTCCGAAAAGTGTTTCCACAATTGTGCCAGTGCCAGTGAATCGACGTTGAATTGCGAACAATTATTATTGTTGCCAGTACATGTATTAGTATGTGCAGCGGTTTGTGGCGGCGAGCAAAGTTCGCACAGTTCGCGGACAGGAGGTGGCAAACGCTCGAAATAACGGTGTACAGGAAGGCGAAGAGAAAAACAAACTGAAAAGCAGAGTAAACGGACGAGAATTAACGCAACAGAGTGAAATATTCAAGTGCTCCTCCTTCCCGCCATCCATTCTGCCTTCCTTCCTTCCTTCCCCTGCGAAAATCATCCCAAAAACACAAATTACGTGGCAAGTGGTCAGGCGAGAACAACAACAAACGAAAACCTGCTGCTGCAGCAAGTTTGGGACCGTTGTTTTTGGTTACTGTACGTCGTGCCAAGCACGCCCACCCACCCGCTCGCCCCCTGCGAAGCAATCCAATTGGAAGCTAAAAAAGGAGTAGAAGAATCCAATAGAGAACGGCGATAGAACCCACCACCGAAATGTCGTCGCTCAAGGTCGCTGTGAGGGTTCGCCCCTTCAACACTCGGTAAGCTCAGATATTCCAGGCTGGCCACGGCTACGGGATTAAGGATTGAAGTAATGGCACAGGAATGTGGTCGTAGATTCACTGGTTCAGACAAAAAAGGATAATAAAGCGGTTTCCAAAACACATTCAAAGTTCATTATATATTTTTAGAAGAGTTAAGATTACAGCCAAAGATTCAAAACCACAAAAACAGATGAATCCAAGAAAATTGGGGCTAAAGTGTTGCTAGGTTTTCAAACGCTAAAGAAAAGGTGTCCTAGAAGAGGTGTCCTTTTATTATTTTTCCTTATTGAAAATACCATTATATACAATAAATGTGCCGGTATATGAGTAACTAAAGCAATATTTGTTTCATTAATTAGACACTAGTTGTTATTTAAGTAAAATCAAACAAAAATGCCTCTGAAAGCATGTTTACTGTGAGACACACGTAAATAAAGTACACTTTGTGTTATTAATTTGGCCAGCATTGTGCGTTAGAGAATGTTTGCCCAGACTCGTGATAAGGTGGATAAAACGCCCCTCAATGAGGCATTGGGAAATATGTGGCGCATTTAAACTAGCTTGAAAACAGAATTGGCTCTCTGGAAACTCCACATTTTTGGTTAACTTATTTCGGTACAACAAATTCCAGTTGAAATTAAAACATAAAAAAGTACTGGAAGAGTCTGGTGCCTACTTAAAACCACATTAAACCTATGAGCATGTATTTTTCCTACAAACCTCGCCTGATGACGATCGTTAACTATTTTTTGTTGCCCCTTGTTTTTTTGT